AGAATTACCATCTGGATCTGGAACAGTGCAGTTGTGGCCTATTAATTACCATCTGGATCTGGAAAAGCACAGTTATGGAAAAAACAGCAACACAACAGCTCAACTGGGCGTACGTGGCGTAGTAGAAAGAGCCGCTGCTGAAAAGCTCCCGAGTGCGGCGAATGTACTCGTCCGTCATCTCCACTCTGAGTTTGAGTTCCTTGTCCCCTTTGTAGTCCATCTATTTATAGACCAGTAACAACAGAGCCAATCCCATCAGTACTATGTAGGGTAGTATATAGACAGGTGCTGTGCGGCTATGAGGAATCGTTAGCTCAGACTTTGTAGTCCATCTATTTATAGAACAGAAACACCAAAGCCAATCCCATCAGTACAATGTAAGATAGTATATAGACAGGTGCTGTGCGGCTATGAGGAATCGTAAGCTCTGTGTCATGTGTCATGTGCCATGTGTCATGTGCCATGTGTCATGTGTCATGTGCCATGTGCCATGTGCCATATGTCATGTGCCATATGTCATATGTCATGTGCCATATGTCATATGTCATGTGCCATATGTCATGTGCCATATGTCATGTGCCATATGTCATGTGTCATATGTCATATGTCATGTGCCATATGTCATGTGCCATATGTCATGTGCCATATGTCATGTGTCATATGTCATATGTCATGTGCCATATGTCATGTGCCATATGTCATGTGCCATATGTCATGTGTCATGTGTGAGCTCTACATAATTATCGCACCACCAAATCTCAAAAATAAAATAAAACCCAAAATAGTGTGCCGATTAGGACCTTTCTGCCGTCTGTTTTCCCTTTGCCCTCGAGCGCCGGCCCTGTCACAGTCACCAGTGGTGCGGAAGTGACGTTTGGTATCTGCATTGGTATCGGTTGTTTGGGATGTGCAACATTGTCCGTGTAGCCTGTGGGAAAGCAGTTAGTAATGCGTACTGAGTAGCCGAACTTGCGGAAAGAGCAGTTGACCGATGTAAATATATATATATATATATATATCATACACGGTGCGGAAACGACAGTGGTATCTGTGTTGTGACGCCGATCATTGAAGTAGCGGGAGGCGCAGATAAAGGAATACTAAACAACAGTCGTGCGTGTTTGTACTCTGATATTCTATCCCGGTACAAGGCACGTGTTTCCTGCTTGTACTCATTGCACACCTGCTTGAGATAGGAATTGCAAGAGACTGGAACGGGTGTGGGCCTGTCTTCGTGTTCACCCAGGAATACTGCACACAGTTCCCTTGCTCGACTGTGAATGTGTTAGGGTTTTAGGGTTTTAGGGTCCCCCTCGCAGACCCTACTGCTGCCACTCGGAATGTATAACATGTGCACGCCTGGGTCAGATTGCTCATCAGACGTATTCAGTTTTAACCAGCTCGTCTTCTTTGCTTGGGTTCTTGGGTTTGGCTAAGTGCTCCATGCTTCGTACTATGCCTGTAGGTCCTATGCCCAACCCCCCCGTCAAGGACAAGCGCGCGTACGAACTAAAACCAGCATGTTTACCTACTGCGCTATATATAGATACTAGGCGTATATACGTAACATAACCTCGGACTAACCGGGCCCGACTAGCCTCAGTCGCAGGTACATATCGAGAGTATCTCCACACACCATTGCCGATTCGACTGCACCATTGCGAAGTGTTGATCAGACTACTAGGATTGTATGAGCACTTAATCCTTGGACTGGCTACCCTACACCAACATCTGCCTACACTCCGGCTGCACAATACAACACCTTACTCAGACAGATGTAGGACCACACCTGTACTGTATTTTCGGACCGGATGCGCCTGAATATGGGGCAAGGAGTTGCGGCTCACGGGCAATAGTACAATGTCCGTGATACGGTATATCCGTTCAACGCCACCCACAAACTCAATAGGATAGCCATCGCTTATCACAATCAAATACCATCCTGTGCAACGTGTTTAGAGCAGGAAGGGTTTAGAAAATTGGGAACAGAAAAACCGGCTTTAGGGCTTCATCCAGGCGCCGTTCTGTACAAAGTGTTTCGCAGACATTCGGGATGAGAAGGAAAGAATCGCACGAAGTATTAGGAAAATTTAGGAAAACCTGTTTTCTAAATTGTTTTTTTATGCACACATCACGACTGATAGTCCCAGACCTAAGTCTTGGGTTTTGGACCATTGAACCTAATCACAGACGAGACAAACATGATGCGTTGCATTCGGGAAGAGATTGGTAGATGGACAATTGGCATATCGGAAAAAGTGTAACTATTGGGTGTAACGTATTCGATATATACTGAAATATACACATCCATGATAGCGGTTTCCCAAAAACCGTTTCACGACAACTTCAACGTTACGTTTGTCAACAAATGTGACAGTATTCGCAGGAGTTCGTTAAAGTTTGTCTAATTAACATGTATATCTGGCTTATGATTGGTAAATAAGATCATAGTGAGTATCTCAGGGCGAATTGAACGAGCTTTTAGGTAGACATGATCATGCTACTCCTACTCAAAGTAAACAAGGTTTGATAGGATAAGTATATTTAAGA